CCAGAAGATCTGTTCTGGGTCCAATTAATACATTGTTTTAATTCCTTCCTCATATAATCAGCAAATATTTAGAATGCCCATATATATCAGGCATACTGCTATTCATTTGAGAAACAAAAATGAGCAGGGCAAAGTTCTTGCCCTCGGGGAGTTTGAAGTCTTAGGAAATAAGCTAAACATCTGAGGTAAATCCTTAAGATGATTTTAGAAGCACACAGGTTTGGCTTATTAGGTATTTCAATAAATCACTGAATGAATCCACTTTGTAGCCTTTATAAGCACATAATATGCATACAGCAAAAACATTTCTTTAATTACATCAAGTAAATTATAACATCTTTTGGCCACTGTTCACTATCTTCCTGAGTGGGCTTGGGGCGTGGTTAGACGCTTAGCAGTAGCACTACCCTTTGTTTAAGTGAATTCAATGGATAATGAACAAATAAAACAGAAGTAGAGCTGCTCTGCTTGACGTGTGAGTAAGGATGGACCCCACACATCTTCTGATTCCGTCCCCCTCTCACACACAGCAAGCCTTAAGGAAAGCTTTGCAAAAGCCCTAGGATTCCATGAGGCACTGTCTGAAAACCATGCACTGAGCAGATGTCCCAAATCCCCTCCAGCTCTGAAAATCTGCACAGATGACACTTAGTCACCACACTGATAACTGAGTGACTCTAGCTTCCTAACTTTACTTCTCAGCTCTCAGGGGGCAGCTTGCAGGCACAGTGCCCATTTGCCCCCTCTAGACTGTGAGCTCATTTCATGTAGAAAATGGATTGATTCAACCTTGTATCTCCAATTTCTACCATGAGTCTTGGCACTAAATTAGTGACGAGTGAACATGGAATGATGAGGACAAAAAGGATTGTCCTGCGGGAAGCCACCGTGGGAGCAGGGGAGCAGGAGTACACGCTGCTGTGGGCTGAATTCTGTCCGCCTGCCCCCAATTCGTATGTTGAAATCCTAACCCTCAATGTGATGATGTTAAGAGGTGGGGTCTCTGGGAGGTAATTAGGTCATGAACGGAAATAGTGTCCTTATAAAAAGAACCCCAGGGAGTTCTCTCACCCTCTTTCTACCCTGGGAGGATACACCAAAAAGATAGCAGTCTGCCACTTGGAAGAAGCCCCTCACCAGAACGTGACCATGCTAGCACCCTGATCACAAACTACCAGCCTCCAGAACTGTGAGAAATACATTTCTGTTGCTTATAAGGCACCCAGTCTGTGCTGTTTCATTATAGCAGCCCAAACTAAGACATACGCTCTGATCACCACCTAGCTACCTACTTACCTGGACATACACACATACACACACATCTGTGTGTGCACACACACAAGCACGCATGACACACAGGCACATACCCCTCACCCTTACTCAGGGCTGGAGAGCTATAGAATGCCCTACTTGACTCTTTCCCTGTCCCAGATAACTTGTGTTCTGGGGCTACTTTCTGCACATTTACTAATCATTTAAACCCCTAGGAAGCTCACCTATTCTTATTCCATCCTCCTTTTTACCTCCAGCCTTTACTCCTCTCTTATGCTCAAAGTAGACATTCAATACATGGTGCTTCTTTCCCCCTATTCTTCCCATGATGGAATCTTCAGACTTACACCAGCGTGGTCAGATCCTCTGGATCTGCTCCAGTTAATGTCTTTCCTAAAATCAGACACGTAGTTCTAGAAAGAGTACTACTGATGGGTGTGACCGTTAGAAAGTACAGTGGGATGGCCATTTCCGACTGATACGGATACTATTCTTCTTTGTTCAGCAACCATTTTATACAGCTGACTCGCATGACAGTTGAAATTGACTAAAATATTCATGTCTTCTTTTCATGAACTAACAAGTCAGTTACCTCCATTCCATACTTGTGCGTGTTTTAAGGTACAGGCTTAGGACTTTACATTTGTCTTTGTTAAAAAACTTTGATTAGTTTAGGGTGTTGTTCCAGTCTTTTTTTTTTCTTCTTAAAAAAATCTTGATTTTAATGTTCATTATATTCAGTATCTCTCAAAATGTTGTGTAAAGGTATGTACACATTTTATTCAAGTTATTAATAAAACCAGGGAACAAGGAAGAGTCCTAAGGCATATATACGTCCCTCAAGGTTGACCTGGCCCATTAATCACTTGTTCAACTAGCAACAAATCTATCACATTATCATTTAGGTAAGTTTTCTCCATCTTGTCCACAAGGAAACATTTCAACCTTAACGAAATCAAGATACATTCATTTTAAGGAATTTCTCTTTTCTATCAGTGTCAACCCCATCATAAACGGAAACAAGGTTAGTTTAGCATGGTTTGTTCTTAGTAAACCCATGCTGTCTTCTTTGCTGTGTACTAACAAACCATCTGCTTCACCATCTGATGCCAGAGATTGTACATCAAACCCATCATTTTCATGAATTTACTTTATCCTATCTTAAAAGTTTTAGATGTATTGCATGGAGAACCGAATTTTATTTTATTTTTATTAATAAATTGTAATATATTTGGGTAAGACTTTACATATAGTGCATTCACAAACAAAACTATATATTAATGTTCTGCCAGGGCTTTGATTTGATCACAACTTGATTGCTGAGAAAACACAAGAATCTTATGCAAATGTTGCCCCCACGAGTCGCCACGCCACTATCTCCATCACTGTGTTTATATAGTGTTCCCCTCGGTGCCGTTTACTGTTCCTCTGATATGGTGATAAACACAATGGTAGAGCCCAAACTAGCAGGCATACGCAGTGGCTTGACACAGATGATCTAGTAATTGGTCGGGAAAGCAAGATGACATAATAGACAGAAGCGAACTCTCCTAAGATAGCACTGATCAAAGCCCACAGTGGATGCACGGTAAACACTACCAGTGAAGACGGAGGAGGCAGGAAGTAGCAATATATTTCACCCCCTCCTGATCCACACTAGGCAGTGTTATAAATTCCATGCTTCGTGGAATAGAACAAAACAAACACATATCCCCAAATCCACTTTTAAAAAAGCAATAATAGCCCAGGGAGAGATAAGGTAAAATCCAGCTCCTGTACCATTTGTTTTTATAGTTAATGTGTTCTGGATCATGAAGAGCAAGAGGAGAAGGGGTGATGGACAGAGAGGCAGTTAACTCACGCTGTACCCGGAGCTGGTCTGTCTGCCTCACGGTGTTCATTCGGGTGCGTCCAATGGGTGCTGGCCTTCCTTTGCACGCCTTGCAGTTTTGTTTCAGGAGTTTTATGTTCCTTTATGTACGAGGCTGACCTTCATAAAAGAGGACCCTTGGAGTGTTTCTAATTTTTATGTGCTTCGCTGTGCTTCCCACACCTTTCTTTGTCTGCTCCCTTTCAGGAAAATCCTAACTGAATTCCATGAAATGAGTTCTCCTCTTTAGTTTGAACTTTATTTATAACATTTCTAGAAAAACACAGCTTTGACTCTATCCCAGACAGAATACAGCAAAGCAGGCCTCCTCTGTAGAGCTCAAATCACCACGCAGGAAACAATTGCAAAGTTACCCCTCAAATTCTTAAGCAACTGAGGCTGAGGACCAAAAGAAAGAGAAATTAAAGTTGCTTCAATCAGGAAAAATATTTTAAGAAGCGTTAGGAAGATGTGAGGGATCTGGCCCATTAAACTTGACTTAACTGGAATATTCAGGGAAGAGGCTCTGGGCTTTTTTGTTCTTGTTAGCTTGCTTTGTTTTAAATCCCCTAATTAAAAAGTTGCTGTGCTACTATAGAATTCCACTTGCACGTCATTCTGGAAAAGGCAAGACTAAAGACAAGAGACGAGGTCATTGGTTTCCAGGGTTAAAGGTGGGAGGAAGGGTTGACTACAAAGGGGCAGCACAGGATAGAACTGTTCTGCAACTTAATTTTGGTGATGGTTGCATGACTCTATGCATTTTTCGGACCCTATAGAACTGAACACTAAAAAGAGTGAATTTGGCTGTATATAAAAATAAATAAAGCAACATTCTAAATTGCTGTGTGAGGCAGAAGGAAGATGGCTGGATTGGGATTCCGGTGACTTACGTTCCGCTTCTGCTAGCTGCATTCTCCTTTTGAGTTATTTTTGCTTTGATTCTCATTACTAGAAATCTTTCTAAAATTACCATAGGAGATGTGCCTGCCTTAGGAAGTAGAACATGCAGGGGGGAATGTCAGCTTGCTCTGGCGTGTGTCCATGTTTGTGCCACACTGCGGGACACAGGCAGTAACCACCAGCGTGACACCGCAGCGCTTCCCAGCTGAATACTCTCCTGTCCCTGGGTCTCTTCTCTTCCCCTGGTGCTCTGCACCTCCACCAGCCATCACATTTTAACAGATTTTACGAGCGTATTAATGCATTTATTTATTCATGAAATTCATTATAAACAACATTAACAATTATGTTCTTAGATGCACTTAATGAGTTCAATAATCAGGCTCTTGAGAGAGCAACATATGGTTGTTTGTGATTACATCCAGCCACATAGAGATGTCTGTACTAAGCTGTCCTCCTGTGTATATTCTCTGCAGCTCTGACCTCTGCCTGTGTCCCCTGTAAAAGCTCTTATGACAGAGGAGGTGTCTCAAACAGAGTCCAGAGAAAATCTCCTACCGTGACAACCTTTAGTGTAAATTTTTAACACCTGAATTGAGGTACTCTTTGTAATAACAAATATTTCTTGTTATGCTTTTCTAGGTTTGTTAATGATTTGCCCTCAGCATTTCCGTATGATTAGTCCCAAGGCATTTTTATGTGTCTTATTTCCAATACTTTCTCTCTTTCATCAGCATTCTCTGCCTTTGGAGTTGGTCCCCTGGACTGATTGTTCTATATTTCACTAGTTTTTCTCATGTGATTTTGAGGATTCAGAATTTTATTTAAAATTTACACAGTTCAGCCATTTAAGTGTCTTATAACTTTAAATTATGTAAACTGATGCACAATCACTGTGTGGTAGCACATGGGTTGACTACGGATATCAAGTGAAACCTTGCCCAACAGGACCTTGGGGGCAGCATGTCTAAGCATTATAACTATACATAGAAAGACGGCAGTACTTACCACGCTTTGCCTGTTTCAAGTGGTACCCACGTTCCAGAGTTTCTGGCAGAGACTGTGGACCTCTGCAAAATAGGGGGTAAAAACTTCCAGTCAGGTGTTATCCTTGACTCCTCCATCATCATCCTTCACCTCTTACTAGTTACCGTGTCTTGTCAACTCACTCACTTCTCTGCCTTACTTTCTATCCCCACCACCCCTGCCTTTGAATAGGCCTCCGCCCTCTCTATTTCTGGACCACAGACACTGGTCAAAGGAACTTGGCACATAGAAAGTACTCACTAAATACTAGACGGATGGATGGATGGATGGATGGATAACTGGATGGATGGATGGATGATTAGGTGAATGGGGAGGAAGGAGGAAGGGAAGGAACTAGGGGAGAGGGAAAATGGAAAGAAGAAAGGAAAGAAGGAAATAGATATTTTTGATATCATATGGATAGAGTATTGGCAAGTCAGAAATGGCCATGCTGTGAAGCACATTCAACTTCCCAGCTCTCTAAGTGGAAGAATGAACCCAAAGACAAAAGTTCCCTCCTCCACTCACCAAGGATTCCACTATGCATGTGGAAAGTCGGCATTTGATGATTAGTGATACTCTACATTCCACCAACAAAAGATAGAGAAACGAATCGTATTCTCACCTCTCCCTGGGAAGGGATGAGGCATCCAGTGCCTTTTACTGACAGCCCTCACCTGCCCCCATGCACATGGCTGCCAAGTCACAGTGACCCTCAGTAAGAGTTGCCCGGCTGCCTGTTCTTTCAAACGAGAAAGCCCCACCACATCACCTCTTTGAGAGACCGAAGTCCTTCTCCTCACTTGCCTGGGAGATGAAAGCCGTTCTCACAAGACAGAGGCAGCCTAGGCTATACACTGACTAACTAGAGTAACGAACGTGCTGGAAGATAGAAACCCACTCTTAGGACCATCACTCTTCTTTTTGGGTGGAAATTGACTCCTCACCTTAAACTGTGTTGATCATATCTCTGTTGACTAAGAAATTTTTTTCTCTGAACTGCTGTTATTTATCTCAGTTGTATGACACTAGAACTTTATCATGTTTATACAAGTGAATGCCTTTTGGCTTTACTACTTATGGGGCAAGGCCTCATAAAATGAATTCAGGTGTTTATGTGGGTGGGTGTTACTAGCTCCAGGTCCAATCAAAATGGGCAAATTAATCCACTGGAGTCCCAGACACTAGTGGGATGGCAGCTGAGCCAAATTCTTGAATGAAGGTCTCTTCTCCCCTTCTGCAATTGGTGACAAGGGGTGAGTAAAGACAGTGTGACCAAAGAGGGAAGACAGAACAGCCTGTCCAACTGGTACTACTTTAGTTTACAAGCTCTGTCCAAAGACACTGTCTCTTAAAAACATTTATTAGGTGCTCAGCAGAGCACTGTACAAATGTGGGTGTCTGATAAATAAATTTTGTTTGCTGATAAATGGGAGAGGGCTTATGCATCACCTGAGAATCCAGGAGGACTTGTGAGTCCAGGTACAAGGGTGAAGGTGGTAAAGAGCCAGTACGTCCTATGAAGTGTTCATTCCAAATGCTCTTGTTTGGTGGGGGAGAAGAAGATTGGATACGTTTTTCAACAGCCAATGATAGTGACTCTGTGCTACTGAAATAATAAGACAAGGATTAAAACTTTTCAGCCAAATTGAATTTTCACAGTGAAGTATCTTCAGTAAAGCAAGGTATAATATGTTCTCTACAGGTGGATTTCTTGTCATTTTAACTCTTTAAAAAATATTAAAAGCACCTTTCCTTTTTCTGAATTGAGATATAATTGCCATATAACATTATATTAGTTCAGGTGTAGAGCATAATGATATTGCAAAAAGATCACCACAAATCTAGTAAACATGTATCACTACATATAGTTACAAAAATGTTTTTCTTTTCTTGTAATGAGAGCTTTTAAGATCTACTCTCTCAGCCACCTTCAAATATGCAATACAGTATTATTAGCTACAGTCACCATGCTGTACATTATATCCTCAGGACTCATTTATTTTCTTACTGGAAGTCTATACCTTTTGACCACCTTCACCCATTTCACCACCCCCAAAAGCACCTTTTCTAAAACTGAAAACCAGTTGCAGAAGGGGAGAAGAGACCTTCGTTCAAGAATTTGGCTCAGTTGCCATCCCACTAGTGTCTGGGACTCCAGTGGATTAATTTGCCCATTTTGATTGGAAGGTTCCTATGGAGAGATGAGGTGTTTATGTGTTTAAAACTGAAGCTTCTATTGGCATCCACCAGAGATCAGGGGTAGAGAGCCATGCTCTTAGCTTCCACCTGTCTTGCTCGTGGAATAAGGATTCTCAGCTAGATTTAAACTCCACGGTGCCAGCTCACCATGTTATCCCCACTGGCCCCGCTGTGTTGTAGAAATGCGGAGACAGAAAGCCTGGCAGATGGCCATCAGCAAGAACCCAACAGGCCTTAGTCCTCAGTGCCAAGGGATTCTACAGAGTAATGGCTCACTGGATTGAAATATAAAGGAAACTCACAAAGTTATTTGAAAATATAAGTATAACTTCAGTTCACCAAACAGGTCAGTCCATCTTTTTCTTTTCTTTTCTTTTAATGGACAGTTTTAAGAAATAAGATGTTATAGACACATTTGAAGCTCCTTCCAATTTTATTTCCTTCCTTTCCCTTGATTTTGGTGTTTCTTAATCTGATGTACATTTTTTATACTCTCTGTATATCAGTGTCCAATGACTAGTATTGTTTTGTATGTTCCAAATGTTACACAAGTGGTATCATGCTGACATTATACACATCATTCCATAATTTGTTCTTCTTGCACAGATTATGTCCTTGAGATTTATACATGTTGATAATGCAGTTCTAATTCATTCATTTTTGCTGCTTTATAGTAGTTCACTGAATGAATTGGTTTTCTTATCCATACTTCTCTTGAGGGACATTTTCATTGTTTTCTACCTCAGGCTATCATCATCATGACTACTATGAATATTTTCTAACACATCACTTAATGCATATGTACAAGAGTTTCTTTAGAATATGTGTCCAAAGTGGAATTGCTTTGTAATCGACTTTTTGTGATAGTGCCAAACGGAACCAATTTACACTACCATCAGCATAGATGAGAGTTCCTGGTGCTCAACATCGTTGATAGCATTGGATATTATTGATCTTACTAATTTTGCCAATCAGATAAACGTTTTTGTCGTTCTTCTTGTTTTAATTAGTATTTCCTTGAGCATCATCTCACTATCAGCCTTTCAGTTTCCCTCTTCTGGGAACTGCCAAATCATATCTTTGTTCATCACTGTATTGTCTCATTACAGTGCATCATTTGTCTTTAAGTCATTTTCAGTAGTTAAATGTGCTGAATACTAATCTTTGGCCTCTCTTTGTGTCTTCCCAGTGTGTGCGTTGCCTTTTCACTTGAGTTTTCTAATGTACAGACATTTTCTTTGTTTGCTTACTTGCTTACTTGTTTTTAAGGTAATCAGATTTACTTGTTTTTAAGGTAATCAGATTTACCTGGTTTTTTTCCTTCATGGTTTAAACTTTATGTAGCTTGTCTAAGAACTCCTTTCTTAGAATAAGTTTATAAAGATATATAAGAGAACATCTAAAAGTTTTAAAGTTTTCTTTTCACATTTAAGTCTTTAATTCATCTAAATTGTATTTGTTTATTTAGTTAGTGTGTTGAGTTTTTTTTAATGTAGTTAATTATTCTAAGCACCATTTATTACATAGTCCATCTTCTCCCAGTGACCTATCACATATCTCATGTGATTAACTGTTCTAAGCACCATGGTCCATCTTCTCCCAATGACCCATCACATAAGTCCTTGGATAGGCATAGGTCATGTTCTGTGCTCTATTTGCCTATTCCAGCAGCAATACCACATTGTCTTATTACTACAGTTTTATAAGATGTCTTGATATGTAGTAGGGCCCCCACTTTATCCTTAAAAATGTTATTCGTGAACCATTGACTTTCTACATAAATTTTAAGATAAGCTTGTGGAGTCGCACATGGAATTCTAAATACACCTAATATTTAGTGTATGTAAACATACATACACTAAAATCGCAATGAGAATTTGATTCGGGTTGCCTTACATGTATAGATGTGTGGAAAACTGATAGCTTTATAAAAATAGAATCCTTTCATCCATGAACACAATGTATCCATCCATTTATTTAAATGTTTTCTTAATGTTTTTCAATAAAGCATTATACTTCTCTTCATTAAAATCCTGCACATCTTTTTTTAGATCTATTCTAGGTTCCTGATGTCTCTGTTGCTACTGTTAACTGGTATCTTTTGTCAGACTGATGTTTGCCCTTTATTGTTAATGATAGGAATAAATTTGATTGCTGAATACTGCCCTTATTTCCAGCTGCCCTCTTTTACAAGTGTTAATACTTTGTACATTCTCTTGAAATTTTCTTGTACACAATAACATTGTCTTATATCTTATGCTTTCTTGTCTTCCTCTGCTGCCTAAGACTTGATAAACTGAATGTTTAATAGAAGAGCTGATGGCCAGAAAACATGTTCTGTTTTGTGACTATAAAGAGATCATTTGAGAATTTGGAGAAATTTTAAATATTACCAAATATCACACGTATTGCTTTCTCCCCTATTTAATGTTTCAGAATGTATGGAGGGCTTGTTTTGAGCACAATAGCTACTCTCTAGTCATCTCAAAAATCACTATACATCAACTATTATTTCCAGTTTTCAGTCTGTCTTTGCCGAGCTTCCCCACACAAAGAACAAATACAAAATTATACAAATTGTTAATTTCTGGCAAAGTTGGCGAATTTCATATTATCGACAAATGCCACACTAAACAGACTGAATGCATATATAGTCATAAATCTCAGCAGACTGAAGTTGAGACATCCCCCCACTCCAAAAAAAAAAAAAAAACTCTAAAGCTATCTTGCATTCAAGTGCTGAACTGATTTCCTTTGAGGCCTTTAAACTGTAGTTGTTTGCAAAAAACAAAAGTTCATTGTTGGGATTTGGAGGTGGCTTATTAGTGGCTGTGAGAAATCAGGGTTAGGACTTGAGGCAGGAAGAGAAATGGAAAGTTCTTAAATTTTAGTGCCTTAACCCAGTAAAATCGTAAGTAAGTTCTTAACACAAGAAACGACTTTGTTCAGGAAACCCTGTATAGTCATGAGGGCCTGGGACCCCAATAGCACTATTCTGGAAGCTTTCCTCATGCCATCTAACAGTCGTCACTCTCTGTTTCCCTAAAGCAAGAAACAAGAGTAGCAGTCTCACACTTCACCCGCTACATCCAATTCAAAGATTAGCTTACAATTTAAAAGTAGATTTTAAAATCCACACCTTAAAATAGAATTTCAAGTATGCTACATTTTGAGACTCTTCATTGCAAAAGTTAAAACTTTGAAAATTAAAGTAGAGCATTCATCAATTCAACTAATAAGCTTTTACTTTTTCAGGATGATTTACTGCAGGATTGCTTTAAACAGACTCCCCTCTTATTTCCTGTGTTGAGTCTTTAGAAAAAAAACAAGTGAAACTAAACATCAGCTACTGCCACCTGCAAACTAGAAAAGAAAAGAAAGTTGCTCCTACATGGTAGGGAAAATAATTCATTTTACAGAAATTTAACACACAAGCGATTTTTTAGGTTCTCATTTGCTAAGTCGACAATTCAGAATTTCTGAAGCAACAGCAGCAAGCTGCTGAACTTGAGAGAAGCCTCTAAACGCGCTTGACTATAGTTTATTAATTGCGTATTGCTTGCTAGCTCAGGTACAAACAGGCAAAAACGGAAAGACACCACAGCTTCCCCACTCAGCCCAGCTAGAGACAGAAAGCGGCGAGGGCTGGGGGCGGGGGGGGGGGGGAGGTTTCTCATGGTCCAGCACTCCCGGGACGAGCTCTCGCCGCTTTAAGCCGCTGGGCTCCTCCGGCCCCGCCCACAAGAAGGCGGGGCCGGTGCGGTGTCTTCTGGGAGTTGCAGTTCCAGGCCCGAGCACTTCTCGACTGGTTTCTTCTTACCCCAACCGCGCCCCGACAGCCTAGGGACTCTAAAACTGCAGTGGATTGGACCTGAGGCACAACTGGAAATAAAAGGAGGGGATCTGGGCCCTGTAGCATGTCTAGAAAGTGTTTGTCGGCAGTGGTGTGCGTGCGCGGGTGGCCGGCGACCCCTGCTCCACGAGCATCTCTCCGGGCGCGTTGGGAGGCCGGGGACAGCGGTAGGGACAGCGGTAGGGAGGCTGGTTTGAGATAGCGTGGCTTGCGAGTCGCAGCTGTTGGCGGGAGATGGAAGGGAGCTGTCCGATTTTCTCCTCGCCCTACCTTATCCTGCCTTTCTGTGGACTCTCCTACCTCCTACCCTTACCCAGTTTGCAGAATTGCAGCCACACACACCCACCTCACCCCTCCCTCCCAGCTCTCCTTGGGAAGCCTTTCCCTGCAGTGTTGTAAAATCCGCTGGAGCTTCTCAGCCAAGGCCTTTTAGCCCGCCTGGAATTCAAACTGCCCCCTCCCTGCCAAATCCAGGTCATGTGAAGCAGCAAAATGCTTGAAGCACAGGCCCCACAAAGCAGTGCCCTTGTCAGTTCTCTTAAATTTACGGTCACCCCGTCCTTCTCTTTTGCAAAGCTGGAACCAGCAAGGCGATAAGATTAGATAGATGGATAGATGGAAAGATTACGTGCTTAAGTTTGACAAGAGCTTTTCATAGATAGCTTCCTTTGCTCTGGAAGGTGGCATGAATACACAGAAATACAGTGAGGGGCCCAAGAACTCACTAATGTAGCCAGTGACAGCCTCAGGACCACAGCCTCCAGGAGTTTTAAATCCACTGCTCTTCCTACCACTTTACAGATATCTCAGAAAAAGCTAAAGGAGGTAACCAGCTGAACCTGATACAAGCTAGCTTTCCAAATAGTCAGGCTCTGGTTCACCACAGCCACTCTTAAATTAGTGAGCAGTTGCTGTCAGTGAGTGAGCCCTCCGGAAAACACAGAGGATTTTGCTGAGGGAAATGTTTAAGATTGAACACATACTTTGTGCTGGGCCTGGGAAGATATACATCACACTTTAGCTTAAAAGGTGCCCTTCCCCCAGAGACAGGTTGGACAGTAAAGCATCTTGTATTTCCCAGAAGATAGCATTAGGCATGCTATGTCTTGTTCGTCTGCCTTTTCTTTAGAGTGTACAACACTTTTGTCCATCATGGTGTCTGCAGTGCTTATACATGGTAGTCGCTTAGTTGGTGTCCAATAATGAAATGCATGAAGCCAGTGTCTGCTTTTCAGGTCTGTACTCAAAGTCTGTTGGCAGAGGTAGAGGTGAAATAGAGGCAGATTTATACAAAGTTTTGAGACAGGAAGGAAGAAGCACATAACTGCCTGGAGAAGTCCCTGAAGCCTGCATGGAGGAGGCAGTATCTGCTCAGCTCTCAAATTGTCCCTCATCGAATTAGCAGACGGGAAGTTATCACACCAAAAACTCTCTATGAGCTTTGCCTGACTGGGAAAGGGACTGATTGTTTAAGAGCCAACCAGGACAGGAACACAGATGCTCCCCTCTTCCAGGTGGTCATCTGGAGAAGCTGTGCTTTCCAGGGACCCTGGCTTTCTTCAAACATCTTTGGAATGCTCTTTGTGGAAATGTCTTTTGAGTTTACAGCACATTCTTTTGGACCTCCTCAGCACTGGAACATCTCGTTCCTTCAGGGATTTGATCTTTGGGAACAGCCAGAAATCATTTTGGATGCAAGTCTAGAGGATGAGAAAGACAGTCATGCTGCATAATAGTTGTTCAAATTTGGGGGAAGGTGTTTGTTTGTTTACAAGGGTTCTCCTGGAGTGTGTGGAAGGTTTGAGTGTATTTTCCTGAGGGATCATGGTTTTAGCATCTATCAGATTCCCCAAGGCCTTCATGAATCAAAAAGGATTAACAAGGGGGGAGGGTATAGCTCAGTGGTAGAGTGAGTGCTTAGCATGCACAATGTCCTGGGTTCAATCCCCAGTACCTCCATTAAAAAATAAATAAATAAGCCTAATTATAGCACCTGCCCCCACCCCTGCCACAAAAAAAATTTTTTAATGTGCAAAATCAATAAGAAAGCTCAAAAAAAATTCAATTTAAAAAAAAAGATGAACAGCTACAGCTATAGAGTTCTTCTGTGGCTTGTAAGCTGCTCTGAAGGAGAATCACAGAGTAGTAGAATAGATGGCAGGCTTCAGCTGCTCCTGTAATTTGATGTGTGGTCTCAGTGGGTTCCAAAGCTCCCAGAGCAGCATCCCTGGACTAGGCAGGTAACGCAGCCTTCCCCTGGTGCCTCCTGTGGATGACAGCCCTAATTTGGACCTGTGATCGTGTCACTGTACTTGTTCAACGAAATCAGCCTCCCGATGTCAGAACCAGGGATCTAGCGACAACAAACAGGCCAAATCAGAAAGGGAAGGCAGAGGCTCAGATACTATAGAGACTTGCTGAGAATAGTACAAATGATCAGGGAAGGGCCCATCAAAAAGGGGGACTGGGAAGGAGGGAAGAGAGTGCTGCAGTCTCACGCTGCCAGAGGCAGGAATCTTCCCAAGCAGGCAGCACAGGAAGCCAGAAACACAGATTCTGCCTTAAGAGCGAAGGTGCTGGTGGAGAACTTATCTCCAGAAGGGCTGATTGGGATAAATGGAATTTAAGGAAGACAGTTACTTGGCAGAGACTGAATCCCAGGCAGCAGGAGCCCCATTCTAGGAACAGGATGACCTGAGACTAGGCCAGGAGCTAGAGGCCTCAGGATTGGTCCCAAAGCCTGCAGCTGAAGACTCTGACTCCAGCTGCGGGGGCCGAGCCATTGGGGGCCAGCTGGAGCCAGGGAAAAGCTGAAAAGCCGGTCACTGAGAGTCACCACCAGCCTCAGGCTATTCTTTCCTCCCACCTTCACTCCCTCCCACCTTCACTCCCTCCTTCCTTTCCTTCTCCCTTTCTTCCTAGTCTGTGTAAGAGGGAAGAGATTTCTTTTTAAAATACCAGATGATGCTTTCTGACTTTAAGGAGCTTGCAGACTTGAGAGAAAGAGTTCCCACTTAGAAGAAAACCACTAAGTGCTTGGGCTGGAGAAAATAAAAATCCCACAAGGCAAAGAAGATGAGGTTAGTGTGAACAGGCATGGTGGGATGAGATCCACAGGTATTCCCTGCTTTTGACATTCCATTCCTCAGAAAGAAGGGAATCTCCAAGTCACTCCCCTGAAGTGGAAAGGCCTGGTGGAACTCCCTGGCTTCTCTCAGCCCCAGGAGAAGGGGTGACTTACCCGACTGATGAATGTGCCCCTGCCTTTTCTCTGTGTGTCCTTTTAGAGCCAGCTGTCCACAGGACAGTTGCATGTTGGTTGGCCGTGTGGCGAGTGTGGCCAAGCCGGCTTTGCAGGGTTAGCAAGGATCAGGAGGGGCGTTTTCAGGAACCCATTTGGCTACAAGTCAAGCCACACTGCTCAGGTCAGCTTTATCTATCAATACAGCTGATATTTTGATCTCCGGTGGTCTGCCTCCTGGTCTTATTTCTCAGTTAGTTCCAAACTCAGAAGGAGAAAACAGGCATGTTCCTTGTCGGCCTCCCCAGCCCCCAATACAGTGCAGAGGCCTTGGTGTCAGTCAGCCTGGAAGGAGGAGCTGAACCCAGTGGTAACTTCTGCATTGGAGCCTCAGGGCCCTTTGTGTCACAGGGCTCTTAGGCATGTGTTCTGGAGGATTTAATAACACATTTGGCCTCATAACTTCAAAAAAACTCTGAATCCCAAGACTGAACCTTGAAGAAGAGAGAGAAGTGGATGGGGGACATCCCTGCTGTGCTAAAATTCATGCCATGGTCACAGTCAGGGCCAGATACATAGAGTGAACTGAGTTAGACACACAGGAAAAGCTGCTTCCACAGGCATTCACTCCTCTCGTCAGTTGTGTATACGTGTGAGCTTTCTGCCTCTGGCTCCAGCTGTTTTCTCCTCCTGGAATTCCTTCTCTCCATTTGTTTGTACCTATCAAAATCCAAGAAAAGGGAACTTCTTCTTGAGGAATGCGGTTTCTCCCTAATTGAATGTTTTTATCTTTCTGGTCTCCTAACAAGTTCCTTGACATTCCATTCTTTCAGCTGCAGGGCTTACAAGCCTTCCCCCACCTGGCCTCCCTCTCCAACACATCTCTCCTCTCCCTTCTTATTCCAGCCATACTGCCGTACAACCTGCCTCAGAGCCTCTCCTCACCTCTCTACAACAACCTGGCAAAGTCTGTCATCCTCTAATACCCTCTCCATGCCTTCCCTGACCCCAGAAATAATTAACTGCCCCTTCACCCTCCACCTTGTGACTTTGCAATTAACATGCCTATCATAGCACCTAACACACATACTGAAATTTTTTGTTTACACACCTATCACATAAACTACATTATGGTGTTTTTTGTTTTTTGTTTTAACCAGAGGGATCATTTTACTTCACCCTTGAGCTTGGAATTTAACACTCAATTAATGCTGAATAGATGAATGAATGGATGACTGATACAGTTTTTTTTTTTTTTTTTTTTACATATGTGTTCCTCTCACCTTTACTATTCAGTCTTTGAGGTTAGGAATATCGGGTCATTTATCTCTTGTTCTCAATAACTAGCTTAGTGCCTGGCTTATAATAGGCACCCAATAAATATTTTTCATTGAGTGGATGAATGGATGAATGAAAATACTCTTTTATAAATATCTCTAACCTGACATACCCTTTCCCTCCTTTGAAACCTCCAGCACTTTCCTGTGTTTCTCCTGTGGCACTTTCTTTAGTTTGTTCTTATCTGCATGTTTAATTCCCCCTACTCAATAGCCAGCTCCTTGAGGGCAAGGAATTGAGTCTTACTCCACTTGGCATCCCCCACAGTGCCGGGCATACAGCAAGAGCTCAACATTGAGCTTTTCTGAGAAAGATGAAAGGACCTGTTATTCAGAGCCCCTGTTCCAGCAACAAGATGCCCACGTACATGAGCTCCACACAGTGGGTCTCCTAACCCACCACTTCACCTTGTGCTACCTTGATGTTGCCAAATCCCGGGTGACAGGAAGGCAGAGTTGAAAAGGCCATGTTGTTTCAATATTGTGTTAGCTGTAATTCTCTGCACTAGTAGGCGCCCAGTTAATATAATTTTCAGATTAATAAAGGATATGAAGCCCAGCAAAGCCCAAAGGTACAAAAGAGCAGTTGAAAGATGAGAATCACATCAGCCGATGAGGAGACATGGAAAGGCAGATCCGTGCATCTCCCTCAGGGTAACGGCTTAAAAAGAGTTAAAGAGCATATTTTTCTCAATAAACAACAGAGTGCAGAGGGAGAATTTAACTTCAAAAGGTCAAAGTCCGTCTAATTTTGTCATAGCTAGAGAAGACGAATCCTCAAGATTAGACTCTGGTAACAGTTGCGGGGATTTTTCATCTGTTCACTCTTTGTGGAGGTCGTTCCCTCCTCTCCCCCTTTCCTTTTCTTTTTCCTTTCCTTCTTTTTCTTTCTTTCTTTCAACATATCCTTGTGGAGCATGAATTATGTGCTCCGTACTCTTTCTTCTAAGTGCTTTGTAGTCAGGATTTCTCACCACCCTATGACAGTTCTATGATGTAGGTATCAGTAACATCACTCAAAATGTGACAAAAACTGGAGCTCAGCTTCGTTGCCTAAAGCTTCACAGCCAGTACCTGCTGGGATCATACTCTGAACCCATATTTCATAACCTCTGAAGCTTGTATGTTGTTGATTAATTCCTCCTAATAATACAATGCTTCTCTATACAGTTCAGGGGTTCAGTTCTCACACAGCTTACAGACAACTGGAAAGACAGACAGTAGAAGTAAATCAAGTATAGGTCAGAGGTTAGCAAAGGATAACACTTAACACAGAGAAGGTCATCTGTGTCAGGGGGAGAGGGGGAAGATCAGCAGTGGCTCCTCAAGGGCGGAGTCAGGAATTGGGAGCTGAAGGGCAAGTGGGAGTCCATAGGATCCAGCCAGGGGCACCACCTCGACAGAGGTACAGCAAGTGCAAAGACCTTGGGGCCGGGGGGTGGGGGGAGCAGCCCAACACATTCAAGGAACTGTAAGTATTCTTTGGGTAAACAATCTTAGTCATTCTGCTTTCAACTTTTTTGTTTTGTTTTGTTTTTTCTTGTTTGTATAGCACATTGTGGCTAATTGTTTTTGCTTTTGTCTAAAAGTGTTGAAGTGTAAGGTGAGTGGTCATTGGAATGCATTAGGGTTTTCATGTTGATTTCAAATGCTCTTGAGGGGACGAGTGCGTTCTGATGTCCAAATGACACAGTGGTGTGGCCAAAGCTATGTGCCGGGCTGTTCCAGTGCAATCTGATAGCTGTGAGAGTGCACTAGGATCCTTCAGGGACCGGGAAGTCCAAAATGTGAAGGCTTGTGTTATGATTTTTTCCAAAGGAATTATCATTTATCGTTTCCACAGAATATATAAATGTAAATCATTTTATTTTTACATCAGTTGTTAAATCTGAAGTCAATTTTTAAAAACAAAGTATTTTGCTAGTCACCCAGAATATTCAAAAGATCCTAAGATCTAAGGTGGTGGGTCTATGGGGAATCCATTCATCATACTAGTCTCTCTAATTCTGTATACATTTGAAATTTTGCATAATAGCTTAAAATTTTTTTAATAGACTTTATTTTTTAGAATGGTTTTAGGTTCACGGAAAAATTGAGTTGAAAATATAGAGTTCTTATATACTCCCTGCTTGCCCCCTCCCAAAAGCCTCTCCTACTATCAACATCCTGTACTGCAATTTTAAATCTAGGCTTTAAAACTGATATATATTATGGAAGCTCTGTTTATTCATCAAATGTATAGTATTTCACCATCTGCTTGGCATTTTGCTAGGTCTCAGAGCTATAACAGTGAGCAAAACAGACAGTCTTTGCCCTTATATTGTCTATCATCTAGTGGGATGATAAATGATAAATAATTTTACCAAAAACACTAGTTGCAAATTGTAATGAGGAAAAGCAGAGGATGCTACAAGCACGTGTACTAGAACTCCCTTACTGGGTGGTCATGGAAAGCCAGAGAAAATCAACAGATAAACTGCCATCTGAGGGATAAGTAGGAATAAACTAGGCAAAGATGATAGAGGAAAACGTTTTAGGCAAAGTAATGCCTTCAAAGATCTTAAGGAAAGAAAGGGTCTGGCATACTTGAGGAGTTGAAAGTTGGTGGACAAGGACAGAGAGAGATGAGGTGGGAGGGGGAGGGGGAGGCTAGAGCACACGGAGCTGTAGGCTGTGTTAAAGTGTCTTTGTCTCTACCCTGAGTGAGGTGAAACAGTGGATGGGTCTTATATACAGAAGACACGAATGGATTTTCTTGAAAAACGAAGGCCCTGACTATATGGTGAGGAATAGATGGGAGTGAAGTAAGAGTGGAACTGGGGAGAGTCGCTGGGAAACTAAACTATTGGAACTGACCCAGAGATGATGGTATGTAATAAAGTGGAGAGACAGAGAAATGGATGGATGCCATGAATATTTATGAGGTGGAGTCAACAAAATTTGGTGTGTGCTTCGAAAAGTTAGGAGGGTGCTAGGTTTCTTGGCTTGCAAAACTGGATAGATTATGGTGCATATACTGAGATGGAAGAGGGGGAGAGAAGGAATTTACAAGGGCTTTATAGCTATTTTTTTCTATTCCAAATAATAACTACCCTGTGTTAGGCAACATGCTAAGTGATTCACCTTCAGTATCACAGAAGTCCTTTTATCTGATGCGACAGGGACTGGCAGCTAGTGGGTTAATTCCTGTACCACCACAGCTCAACAAACCTTCAGAGACTGCAGTTACTGTCCTCTGTTGTCATTTCAATTGCATGTTGTATATTACCTATGCGCAAACCCTTGGCATATGGATATCAGAAGCTCTAAGTATTGTTTCCAACTCCCTCCCCAATTATTTTCTCATGTGACTCATTAGGCAACTCCCACACCTTTTTTCTTCTCTCAATACTATATCTACTCCATGATAACTTGCTTAACAGGTTGATCTAGGCATCCTTCCCCTCCCCCACCAGAGTCAGTGTAAAATCCTCTTGATCAGGGCAGGTGGTCACTGGGCAAACATGTTTGCAAACTGTATGTGGTGGAAGTTCATCTTCAATCTATTATCCCAAATCCTCTATCCCGTTGAGCATTACAGTTGTATTCCTCCCTGGCCTCACTTCTCATCCTTCAGGCAGTGCAGTGATTTGTCCCCTGTTATAGGGAACAATCCCAAGTCCTCACCTTCCATTTCAAAGCCCTTATCAGAATAGACGATGGTACTATTTCCATCTTCTCCTTATTCTAGACTGCCTCCTCTACTTCCCTGACGCCATGCTGCTAATGGTTCTCTTGAATAGCAACCAAGGGTGAACTGGATGTTTTCATATATGTTGTGCCATTTAATTCCCACGATACTTCGTGGTTCCTGTCCCCATGTCTGGATGATAGTAGTCATCTAACTATTTGTTGAATTAACGAATGAACTGTGTTACTGGAGAAGCAAAGAATGGCCTATTTGGAGGGAGATCAGGCCGTAA